GTTCCCAGCTGATGTCTCACTGCAGGCAATTATACCCACTTGAGCTAAACAGCTGCCATTTAAAATAAAAATGTCCTGACACCAGTGGGCGTGCCAGACTGCCTCAACCCTGCACAAAGGAGCACGAACATCCAAGGAAAGCGCTGAGAGAGATGGGCCTCCTCAGGAAAGGGCACAACAATTGGTTGCCTGCCAAATGGTCAGCCCTGAAACACGCATACAAGTAACATTAGATGTACTCACTCATCAGGCTATACTTGGGAATATATAGGTATATAATATAGGTATATACAAATACCAGTATGCATGTAGCAACAAGTGGTAGAAAAGAGAGCATTAATTTGAAGGACATCAAGGAGTAGCGATATGGGAAGGCTTGGAGAGAAGATATAAAACGATAATCTCAAAAATAAGCCAACAAGAAATGTCATGAACGCTCTGAGTCAGTTGTCTAAGGGCCAGAAAGCTGTCCACCTACAAAAGAAGGGATGGGCCCCGGTCGTTAGGCTTCAAAGCCTAGCGGGTTCTGGTTTCCAAGGGAGCCTGACACCAGCGCAGAACTGAACAGGGTCGAGATTTAAGTCATCAGGCCTCCTGATGTCACAGGGAGACAAGCTCAGCTCGAAGGGATCTAAGATCACGCGAATGGTAGCTTTCTGGATGGAACTAATGAGTTAGGAAGGAGCTTGATCAGATGGCTAAGGTCATTTCCTTACCATCAAATGGCAACTAAGACTTCCATACGGTGGTTCCCCCACGTGCCAGCTTGGTTCCCACACTACCAATGAAGCCCCTTTCACCGAGGAGGGGGCTGAGTTGCAGAGTGATGGGATACTTCCTGATAGAGAGAAGGAAGGGTCAGAGCGGGAGCTCTCTGGATTCTAAGCCATTTGGCGAGTAGTCACCGACTCAGGCTCCCTGGCCAGGTTTGTGCCTCCAGCACTAAGTGGGAGCAAGGGCAAAAAAAAACTCAGGGGGAGGATTCTGACCAGCATGCAGACGAGCCAGGCAAGTTACAATCACTAACTCTAGTCAGAACACATCATCTCCGAGTGTTACTCAGGGTCTCTTTCTCACGCAACTCTGGATACTATGTCCTTGAGACAGTGGACAAAACAGGGAGGTGGGGAAGGGACAGAGGATGCAGAGGCAGTCGACCAGAAGAAACCATTTCTATCTGGCTACTAGGAAGTTCACTGTGGCGGTTAGAATGTGTGAAAATAAAAACAAGTCCAGATATGCATGTGTGCGGGTTGCTTTGGATTAGATCACGTATGGCAATATAGAGTAGCTTTCTTGGAGCACTTAGCATATGCTAAACACTGTACTGGTTTTCATGGAGGAACTCGCCTATTCCTCGCCAAGCCCCTTTTAGTGTATCTGTATGTAAGTGGGGGGGGGGGTTGCTGAGAAAGTGTTTGCTTAAGCCTACAAAGTTGAAATAACAATATGGGGTTTTAAAAGCAAAGTCTGTTTTACTCCAAATCCTAGGTACTGTTTTGTTTTCTAATCGTGTATGTGTGTGGGAGGGAATGGGGGGGGAAGGGGTGGGGGGAGGGAGTATTGCCCATGCTAGTGCCTGTGTCCTCAGAAGCAGAAGTATTTGAAACTCTGGAGTTGGAGCTGCTGGGATTTGAACCTAGATCCTCAAGAGCAGTATGTGCTCTTCACTGCTGAGCCATCACTCCAGACCCACTACCTCAAAGAGAGATGACTAGAAGGTGCTTGCTTTCCAAATGTTGAGTCCCCCTAAAGCAGCCATCCACAGTGGGACCCAGGTAGGGCCTGGCTAGCACACTGACCGTAAGCCAGCCCAGCAAACATCGTTCTCTGTCAATAAAATCATTTTGGTGCTGGTGGCTGAACCCACATACAGCCTCATGAACGCTAGGCAAGCACTCTGCCTGTGAGTTCTCTCCCAGTCCAGTAATGGTGGGGTGTATATTTCAACTAACATTAAAACGGTGATGGCTGATTCCAAAGACGGAATCTGTAATAAAGTGCAGCCTATTCCAAAAGCACACGGGGGAAACCCAGACGCAGTTCATCCCTCGCTGTGGCCGTGAGACCATCGTTTTACTCCAACGCTTTCCACACTGGGAGACATTTTGAGCTTTCCCTGGCCATTTTCAGCGGGAATGACCGTGACTGTTCTGTCTACACAAGTTAGAAAGATGCAGCTGTTTATGGTATGACAAAGGTATAGGATAAAGAGTAAAACTCAACCACAACAGACCTGAGCATTTTTGGGGCTGATCGTCAAATCAGATCTTCAAATTCATAACTAAAGGGTGTTCAGAAGGGCCTGGGCATGGGTTGCTAAAGCTCTTAGTGACTGCCCAAAACCTCATTTGGGAAAGGCATGCACATCAGAGCCTGCTCTCCTTCTGCAGCACCCTGCTCCAAGGCCAGAGAACATGCCAATATTCAACAGCCCCATTTATACCAAAGTCAGCAACCACTTCAGGAGGGGTAGGGGCAGAGCCACCTCCAGTGACTCAGAAGCCGCAAGTTTGAAGAACTCAAACAAGCGGTCCGTTTGTACAAAACAGTTTCACAAGTCTGGGAGGAGGCCATGAGTCAGTGGAGCTGGCCTTAGTGCTGGGATTCCAGGAGAGCCAGTTCATCCTGAACCTCACGCTGAACACAACCCCAGGTTCAGAGCAAGAGGCTGACATTCAGACACGCTTTAGTGAATGAGTGAGAAGCATCTGGCTAAGCTGTCTATGAGTGAGCGCATGCGCCCTCTATCAATCAGAGGAGGTCATGAGAGCCACTTCTCTCTTTTTATAGAGCGCTCAGTGTGTGTTCACATCTGGACTTATGCTGCAGGTAATGAGATAAAGAAAAAGAAAAAGAAAATCCCTCCCTCCTTGGTGGGATAACATTCTAAGGCAGAACCTTGACCAGCCAACACTCACCACGCCCTTTTCGTGGGCCTGGCTCCAGGCTAGATGCTGGGAAGTCCAAGGGAGAACAGAGTCGTCATCCTTGCTCCCTGGGAAGATGTAGTGGGGTCAGAGGGAGGAGTCCATGGCAGAAAGGCAAGTACAGGGTTAGGGATTCTCACTCATACAGGATGTGAGGCATCTGCCTGGAGGGGATCCACACAGATGTTCCGCCCCCACAGGCTTTGAGAAAAAGCAGCAAGGGCTCCTCAGGGAGGCTACAGGGTCCTGCTTTGGTTTAGACTTTTTTGGTGTGTGTGTGGTCAATCCCCGCCTCTAATCCCCAGAACCAGGACAGTGTCTGCAGTGTCCTGGAACAGGGAAAACTGTCCTTCCAACCTCCTGATAAGCACAAGAGGACATGACCTCGGCTCTCTAACAGTTTCAGATCCTCGGCACACTCATACAATGACAGAATTCAGACACCCGCTCTGGAAAGGGGCCCTTAGTATTTTATGTTGTTTCCTCGAGGTATTTTAAAAATGTAGGGGCAGTAATTGTTCGATACACAGCAGCAATGGCAGCTGCTGCCACTGAGTCCCTAGCCGCAGATCTGTGCCCAGGCCTCAGGAGCAGCTGCCCAGAGCAAGTCTAACAGGCAGGATTTCAGCCCTTCCTCGGGCAAGTTCTGACCAAGTCCTGTACCACAGCCCCAAGACCAGGGCTAGTGCCAGCTCTCCTAAGTCCCTTGCTCCTGGTCTCTGAAACACCATTTACTCACAGAATATCTTGTTCAAGGGACAGGGGAGGGCTGAGATCTGCTTGTGAACATCTGTGGTGATTTGTTTATTTTAATGTTCCCAACAGCTGGTTAGGGGCGGTCATACCAATTCACAGGAGTCTCCACACTGAGCCAGCTAGTCACAAAAGCACCTGGGAGGAGGGGGCTGTGAGAGTCAGAACTTAGGCCTCCATCCTATCCTGGTCATGCAGGAAGGACTTGGCTGCTCCTCTTATACCCTCTGACCGTCCAGAGGGACATGGCTTAGAGATTCCATAGGCTGCCTTTGAATCTCGGTACCTCGGAGGATGCCTCTCACCCCCCCCACCTCTGGTATCTTTTTTTCATAATACCTTATTTATCGTTGAATATGTTACACAACTCTCTCGGTTGTGTAATCCAGAAGGATGGCAGCAAAGTGGAAAAACTGGCCGCACTCAGCGAGATATGGGCTATTACGCAACGTGGATGACCAGACACAAAAGCACGAAAATCTTCTTGGATTATATAATCGATAACTAGAAAACATACTTGAAGAGAAAGTAAGAAACATTACTTCCAGCTTGTCCTCTGACTCTTTCTATTCGAGCAATAAGCATGAAGGCTTTCCGTAGTCCTCTTTCCTTTAGAGCCAGGCCTAGCTTCAAATTGACACACTGGACGTGTGCGCTTGACACTGAAGATTGAACCCTGGGGCCTGGAGCGTGTTAAGTCATCGCTCTGCCATGAGCTAAATCTCCAGATTCTCGCTTCCTTCTCAAAGTCTCATGACTGACGGGGTCGTCACGACTTCAAGACTTTCCTCATCCTGTTTCATGAGTTTGGTTTAACTGACACGGCAGCCATCATTAAACAAAAATTGCATTATCTTGCCTTTTCCTCCTGTGCTGAGGGAGGGCTTGAAATGGCTGGGACCCGGCCTCCAAGTCACTGACTTCTCTGTCCTGAGATTTTTCCGAGATAATGCACTGGGGTATATGAAGTGACAACAGGGAGACCTGAGTTTTGCTTCTGGCTCTAAATATAAATTGGACATCACTTAACCCTTCTGGGGCTCTAAACACTGACGGTGAGAGGTTTGAGAGGGAACCTGGCAGGCAGTGGCCTCGGTAGAAGCCCACACACTTCTTCTTGGTGATGTGTTTAAACTTCATCTTTGATCTAAAAAGGTGTAGCTGGGCTCAGTAAGATTTATTTGTCCTGTGAGCCTCCGGCCCTGCCTCCTAAACAGGGCTTTATTTTACATCCACATCCATGGCTACAGACAGCCAAGCCAGCCCGTTCTGCACAGCATCTGAGCTTTCAGGTCCAATCCTGGTCTTGGAGTTACTTGGGTGATCCCTGGCGCCCGCACTTCTGACAGTTACTAGAATTGAACAGAGGTCCGGGCTCGCCACCTAGACCTTGGCCCAGGGTGTATTTCCTGCGCACCTGGATCCCGCAGCGGTGTTACTACATCCCCACCCTAACCACTAAAGAAAAACACAGTATTTTGCTTGGAATCAGCAATGGGTGGTTTTCACTGATGGCTAAGCTCAGTGATGGAATTTAGGCAGAATGGTCCCGAGCTCCTCTGGAGCCTGAAGACACAAAATAAAAAGTGAGAAGAGCCCAAAACACAGTCTTAGATGGAAGCGGATTAGGCAACTTGCGGTTCCGGAGACCCCAGGAGTGATCAGAAAAGGGGAAACGTTGTAAGGCTAAGTCGGGCGCAAAAAGATTCGGGCTCGGAAAGGCAGCGCTGGGTCGCCGGGCTTCGGTTTCCACTTCTGCAAAATGAGGATTAAGGACGAGAGGGTCTCCTAACTTTGAAGTTCCCTAAACCTGTACGATACACCAGGCCGAAGCCCGGGGCTCGTAAAGGAAAAGCGGGAAAAGCGAGAGAAGAGCGAAGGAAGGGAAAGGAAGACGCGGGACGCTGGGGACAAGCTTGGCGCGTTTCCCGCGTTACTCCGCCTACTCCCACACCTGCGTGTTCAGAGATCCGCCAACGCCCCGCGCCCGTCAACTTCGGACACCGAAGCTCCTTCTTTCTCACACGTTCTGGAAGCCGTAGGGCAGAAGCTGAGCACGGTCATGCAAAGGGTGGCATGGGAAAGGGCCCCGCTGGGGACCGAAGAGCAGGTGAGCAGACTCCGGGCTGTGCACCGGTTGATATGGCCCCAAGCTGAGGATGGCAGGGAGCCCGCGTGCCCTTGCTAGCTAGCCCTGGACGAGCCGAATTTCATCCCCCAACTTCGATCTCGGATAAAGGGTGTTTGCAAAAAGAAAAAAAAAAAGGAAAAGTTTTTGAGGACTTTTCCCCAAGTCTGGCTGGAGGCGGGGTCGGAGGGAGGTGCCTACAGCCTGATTCGCCGCGGCAGCGGTCCAGAGGCGCCGATTGGCGCGCGGGGTCCCGGGCCGGGAGAGCGGGCGTGGGGGGAGGGGAGGCTCCGCGCCCGCGGGAGCGGCTCGCGCCGGGAGCGGGTTAATTTCAAATCGGGGGCTGGACTACTCCGGGACGGCCACGCTCCCACGGCCCGCCCGCCGCACCCCCCAGCCTCGGCCCCGGTGCCGCCCCCGGGCACCCACCTCTGCGCGGCGGGGCTGAGCGAGTCTCCCTGAGACGCGCGGGCTCCCGGGACCGGTGGAAACACGCAGCCAGGAGCCCGGGCCGCCCGGAGCCGCCAGCCCCGGAGGAGGATTGACAGGTGAGCGGGGAGCTGACTGTCGCGGCGGGGCTGCGGGATCACAAGCGGGGTAGGGTGAAGGCGGCCGTTTCCCGCCTCCCGCCTCCCGCCCAGCCGGGGCCCGTGGGGAGGAGCCGAGCTCCCGCGCAGAGGGCGGGGGAGGGGCTCGTTCGCGCTCTAGCCCCGCGCACTCGGGGGCGGTGCCAGCCACGGTCCTGCTTTCCGCGCCAAATTTTTAAATCGAAGGCGGAAGGTCCGGCCCCGCCCCGGGGACCTCTAGCCAATCGTAGGCCTGAAGCGGACGTTCTGATTGGCTGGGAGCCGTCGCCCTGGAAACCGGGAGATGCTGTCTGGCGGCCCCCGGGGGCGGTGTAGTTTCGGGGAGGAGGAGCCAGTGCGTGCGCCCGGCGGGAAGCAGGCGACTGCAGGGTACTGTACCTGGCTGGGAGCGCAACCTACTGTGCAACGCAGTGGCCTAGGCACCAAGGGAGACCCCTCCACAGCCGCGCATTACTGCTTATATTGAAACAAGTCTAAAAGAAGGGGTCCAAATCCTGAAGCGCTCTGTAAATGCCTCATCGTGCGTTTAGAGCGCAAAGGCTGAATTGGAGGGTTGCTCTCAGGCCATTTCCCCAAGTCCTTCCTTCTGAGCCTGTGCACGTGTGTGTCAGGCGAAAAACTTCAGCATCTCCCCAGATGCAAGCTCGGTGTGTGCCCAGTCGGTACCCGGGCTCGTACGCTCCATCCGCAGCCCGGATCAGTACACAGGTGGGTGCTTGCTACAGCTGTCTTTGAACGTGAGAGAGGACTGTCACTGCAGATTGTGTTAACTTGGAGTCTCGTGACAGGAGATGGGTTTGATGGAGGAATTTACTGCTGTCTGTTGGCGCGATCTGCCTAGAGCAGCGGTGTTTCCTCGAGGGGGTGGGGGGCAAATATAACCCCGATTTGTCATTTTTCGTTTCTTTGTTTCAGGGGTCCTCCTGTGTCCGTGAATCCATTTTCAGCAGATCTTATTTCTCTCTGTTCTTTTTTTTTTTTTTTTCTTTTAAGGATACTAAAAAACTTTTATAGGATCGATTGGACTTCTTGAACCACTCGAATTTGGGAAGGCGTTTAAGATTTTTCGTTTTTTAAGACACACTAAATGTATGGGAAATTGACAAAATGGAGAACCAAAAGGTATATTTAAGTTAAGTCTACACCGTTGCTGTATTTTCCTGAGTAACAGCTAAAGTTTTTCCTTTAATAGGGCCATTGATGTCCCTTTTTGGTTGACTGTTGTTACAGAAATTCAGAAGGAAATTCTATTTTTGAAGAGCAATAGTAATCTCTCTGTTTCAATAGTTTAGTGTAAGTTTCACATACACAAGGGGAGGTGTGTTGTTTTTTTTTTTAATACTTATGGCAAGTATTTTGTAAAAATTACAAAAGACTTTGACAATGGGATTGTGTGGATTGTTTTGTTTTGCTTTTTTTTTTCAAGTGAACTTATATAAATTTCCCCATCGATTTTAGATGTTAGTTAAATCCTGTTCCTGGCAGTTTTCACTGAACCTGCCACCCTTGGGTCAGCACCTCCTGAGGGAGAACTGGGCTGAGCAAATTCAGGTGCTAGCCCTATGAGACCTCTCAGCTTGGTGTCCTCTTCTGCTAAGTAGCAATGCCAACTTCAGCAGAAATACACACTGGAAGGTGCTTGATAATAGTCATGTAATACAGGATTGTTATCCCATGTTCCTAAACTTACCGAGGGAACAGTGGGTGTCTGGTCTCTGAGCTGTTGTCTCCCAAGTAATTTCTTTTTTAAGAATGGTGCCCTCCCCAAAGTGAAAATCCCAGTCCCCACTAGCCTTATGAAGTGCTAGCTTACCACTGTGTCTCCCAAGCAGGGACTGGCTCTGAGGCCTTAAATGGCTACTTCTCTTGGCTATTTTCTGTATCTGTGCCTCAAAAGTTGATGTTGAAAGCAGATTTTTTTTTTTTTCTGGTCAAAAGTCTCGCTGGTAGGCATGAAGCCCTACCTGATAAGTCTAACCATAAGGGCACCCTCAGCTTGGCTGCTTGGTTCTCTTCCTGGTCAGCAGGGTGTTAGTGAGCCCCCACTGCACACAGCAAGGTGGAGAATGGCTTTGGTCCTGAAGGCCTTTGCTTGACATGAGTAGAGGCTGCCTCTAGGAATTCAGGTCACTTAGAGAGATCGGTTCTAGTAAGAAAGGGTATGAGCTCCAAGCTGTCTTTACAGCTCTCCTATCTGAAAATAAAATTTAAAGACAGAGCCTGTAATTAAAGTTATTTATTGATTTGATTCTTGGGTCACGGGGTGAGTCCATTTTAAAGATAGAAAACTCTCCGGTAGGTTCTCTTTTGCGATGAACTCAGCTGTGACTTCCTTCTAAACCAGGAAAACCTCTTTTCTGAGCCACATAAAAGGGGACTGATGACAAGCCCCTTGCAAGAGTCCTCGAAGGCCAACGTAGTATTGGCTGAGATCCAGCCTGACTTGGGTCCTTTAACCACGCCGACCAAGCCCAAGGAAGTTTGCCAAGGAGAGCCATGGACACCCACAGCCAACCTGAAAATGCTTATCAGTGCGGTGAGCCCAGAGATCCGAAGCCGAGATCAGAAGAGGGGCCTGTCTGACAACCGTGGATTACCGGAAGCTAGAGACTGCTTGCATGTAGGTTTGCGAGGAATATCATGTCAGCTGGGGGCTTGTTGAGGGAGGGGAGCTGAATACAGAGAGTCAAGCAATCAGGAGCCCGTGGAAGGCTGCTGTTGACCTGCTGAGGCATGGAAAGAGTTTGTACCCTTGTAGCACAACACTGGGAATCCTGGACCTTATGAGTGGCCTTCATCCCAGGCTTCCTTTTAAGACCATTCTAATTCCACTCCCAACCCTGCAGTGATCCAAACTGTGTGGGGGATGGGGGGTAAGAAGTGTTAGTCATCTAGCCCAGATGTCCCCAATAAGTCTGTCAAACTTTATTTCAGGATGAGACATTGTTTGTCTTTTCCTCTGTAGGAACACTTATCTGGAGATGAGTTTGAGAAATCCCAGCCAAGTCGAAAAGAGAAAAGCTTGGGGTTGCTGTGCCACAAATTCCTAGCGCGGTACCCTAGGTACCCCAACCCTGCTGTGAATAATGACATCTGCCTGGACGAGGTGGCCGAGGAGCTCAGTGAGTATGCCAGGCGTCGGCATGGCTAGGAATGACAGCAAGTGCGGGGACTTAACTCACGGCACCACAGATTTAAATGAGGCCATGTGGAAATTAGAAGTCTCACAAAAGGTGATGGAGAGGGGTCTCCGGGTTCAGGTCGTCTCCAGAGCTGCACAGGAAGGAAGTAGAGTTTCATAACTTGCTTTACAAATAGTTGTGACTCTGACCCTCACCTTGGCCTTGGGCCTTGAGGAGCCAGCGTATCCATAGCTGCACAGAGGGATGGTTTCTGAGACTCCGCCTCTCAGCCATTTGAGATTGGTGTAGACCTGATTCTAGAGTCAAAAAGGAGTCTGGAAGATACAGGATATCTTTGAAGTCATTAAATATCTATGTGCGCACGCGCGTGCGTACGTACGTGTGTGTGTGTGTGTGTGTGTGTGTGTGTGTGTGTGTGTAAGTGTTTAAGAGAGAGACAGAGTATGGGTATACATGTGTGTTCTCGTGTGCAAAGGGTCAGAGGTCGGCTTTGGGTGTCATTCCTCCAGAGTCAGCCACCTTTCCTTCTGGGAATGAGTCTCACTGGGATCTGGGGCTCACCAATTAAATGAGGTTGGCTTTTCCCCTGGGTGCTGGGGTCTGACTCAGGCTAGCGCTTTCCCAATGGAGCCATTTCCCCAGCCCAAAGCATCTTAATCTAAAACTTGAAGAAGTGTGTTCAGGATAGTGTTTTAATACATCGCTATCACCCCATTAAAAAAAAAAAAAGATGGCCTTTCTAAGCAGGAACATTAATTCATGGTTTAAGACTATGCTGTTTGGGTCCATCTGCTCTTCACATGCACTCCCTCTGGCTCGCGTGCGTGCGCACGTGCCTACTCTTTGACTCATCAGAGGAGCTTCTATAGCTCCATGAACAAAAAGGGCAAAATTCCCTTTTCACTGGAACCTGTCTTCAGTGGAGCAGCGGCTACAGAGCAAAGGACATGGCAGGAACTCACTGTGTGTGACAGACAATTCATGCTACAGAAAAGGAGGGGGATATCTAGAAAAAGTGAAAGGACCAGGTGTGTGGGAGCGGTGCTTTCTGGCCATAAACTAAGGGCTCAGATCAGGCCGACGTCCAGGGCTTGAAAGAGAAGCAGAGGTCTGGGAGGACAATGGGGAGAAGGGCTCCTGGGTGAAGGATCAGCTCAGGGTAGAGCTCTTTATGCTCCTTCTCACCTGGCAGTGGCCACTAGGGGGTGCTCTATCCAGAAAGGATATGTTATTCTGTCCAGTACTGAAGTTGAAATCAACAGTGAAGGTAAAATTTCTGAAACAAGGAGAATCCCACCATGCAGAACACTGAATCCCCTTGTGGATTTAAGAGCCACAGAGTTGGTAGTCTTACCATCACTGATGGTAGGCAGAACATGGACCAAATTAGACCCCAAGAGATAGACCTTTCTGCTTTTTAATGTAGGTTTTTGAGAAACGACATCATGGATTTTATATTTTTACTGAAACCTCAGCACTTTAAAAAGGAGTGTGAAAGTGTGTGTGTGTGAGTGTGTGTGTGTGTGTGTGTGTGTGTGTGTGTGTGTGTGATCTTGGAGACCAGACAGAAAAGAACGCTGAAATCCTTGTAGCTGGAGTTGCAGGTGGTTGTGAGTCACCCAGTATGGGTGCTGGGAACTGAACTCTGATCCTCTGGTAGAACATAAGTGCTCTTAACCACTGGGCCATCTCTCCAGCCCCAGGTCTAAGCACTGCGTGCCTGTGATATGATTATGGCAGACAGGTGTGGGTACAAGGATGGGAATAAAGGAATGGGCTCCGAATTGCAACAGTTAGACTATTTAGAGGCTTGGCCATGCCACTTCCTCTCTATCACTGCAGCAAGGTCTGAGCTATATCCTCACCAGTAAGGTACTGGTGACAATGGCCACCACACACATTAGAACACAATTGTCCTGAATGATGCAATTTGCACCCCTGGGAAGATGGTGACTAATTTAAACACGCTCATTTCCCCTGTGAGGGAGCCATGTCTTTCTGGCCTCCGTAGTGTTTGTTATGTGTATTATATTACTGTGTGGTTCAGATGCACCTGCTGACAGATAGGAAAAGCCTTATTCCACTTCGAACACACAGTGAAAGCCCGATCCTGCTAACACACCGCCACACGTTCTTTGCAGATGTTGAACGGCGACGGATTTATGACATTGTGAATGTACTAGAGAGCTTGCACATGGTGAGCCGCCTTGCCAAAAACCGGTACACCTGGCACGGCCGGCACAATCTCACCAAAACCCTCGGGACTCTGAAGAGCGTCGGGGAGGAAAACAAGTACGCTGAGCAGATCATGATGATCAAGAGGAAAGAATACGAACAAGAGTTTGACTTCATTAAGAGCTGTGCCATAGAGGACCACGTGATCAAGTCAAACACTGGCCAGAATGGGCATTCAGACATGTGTTTTGTCGAACTCCCCGGAGTGGAGTTCCGGGCAGGTGAGAAGTGATGTCGTGGCACGGTGCTTGTGAAAACTGCCACGGAGCCTGCTGCTCTGCAGCTGCTGTCCCTTGTTTGGGGGTTGGGTGGGGTTAGGGCTGGGGAGTCGAGGTCTCTGGCCCACCCTAGCCTCACGTCCCTGATTGTCCTCTTGTCTCCACTTGCCTAGCGCTGAGGTTTTGGGCGCACGCCACGGCTGTGGGCTGGCTGGTCCAAAGGTGCTATTTTTAAGGCTTGCTGCTTTCCCTTCTTCTTGTTAATTCCCTAATCCCCGTCCTTCTCTGCAGCTTCCGTGAACAGCCGCAAAGACAAGTCCTTACGAGTGATGAGCCAGAAGTTTGTGATGCTGTTCTTGGTGTCCACGCCGCAGATAGTGAGCCTGGAAATCGCTGCCAAGATTTTAATTGGGGAGGACCATGTGGAAGATCTGGATAAAAGCAAGTTTAAGAGTAAGTGTCACAACTACCCAGGAGATTTGGCATCCATTCATGAACAACAAAGCGTCGTCTTCCCCTTGACCAGGCACTGAGCAGATCTCTGGGTACATGTCTATGTTCACCCTCCCCCACAGTGGTGGATGCCGCTGCCGCTAACTGGCAGAATTCAACAAGACGTATAACCTTCTTACCGGTCCGACACTATGGTGTCATCTGATACGGTAGCTCTCTCCCCGTTTTACATGGTAAATACTCCCAGGGCTTAAATGAACAATCAGTTGTAAGGTAGGTCCAGCTCCTAGATCTCATCTCTCCACTGATACTGATCATTGATGGCATAAATAATTCCCACTAAATTGTCCCCCCGATGGCCCTGCAACACAGATGGCCTGCTGCTTTGAAACCGTTTTAGCCAGATGGCTGCTGTGGATTTAGCTGGTTCCTAACCAGCTCTGTTCCCATGGCTATGCCAGACATTGTAGGAAAAGGTGTGGAGGAAAGAGCCAAGCAGGCAAGAGCGACCTTCCACACTCTCGCCTCCCCTGGAGGATAACCCAGATGTGAGCTGCTGGGCAACCAGCTATATATAAAACATAGCTGCCCTGAGAGGCCAGCATTTGTAGATTTGTGTGTTCCCTGGCCTCAAGATGACATGTTCTGTAAAGCTGTACCAGTCTGCGGAAGTTCAGTCCAGATATTCCTGGGTTGACAGTGCATCCACAAGACAGGATCAAGGAGAGAGTAAGGCAGTAATTCTGACAGTTCTTGGGGAAAGTACAATTTGAGAAAGACACATCCCGATACTGCCACTTGGTCGATGCTTTTCTGAGTCACCAGGTGCACTTCAGCTCAACACTGCTTATTGGTCAGTCATACCCTTGGAAACTATTCTAGTAACAGTGGAATGTGTCACTTGCTGAATCCTTGGGGACCACAGAAACTTCTAGCAGGGCTGTAAAGAGGGAGAGTCAGTTTGTAACTCTGTACTGTAGACTGAAGTTTCTGTCCCACCGGGTCTTACAGCTCTCCAGTCCCAAAGAAACACACAGAGGCCTGTATCAATAATAAACTATTTGGCCTATTAGTTTAGACTTTTTACTAACTAGCACTTACCACCTAAATTAACCCGTAATGCTTGTCTATGTTTAGCCACATGGCTTGACACCAGGAACGTGACTTTTTATAAAGCAGGGTCATCTCACTGAGTCACTTCCAACTGTCCTTTCCAAATTCAGGACCAGCAGTGACTCCTGAAACACATAAAACTCATTTGTTTTGTTTTAATCCAAGCAGTGTTGTTAGAATAACTTGAAAGGAGTCAGGAAGGAGTCCCTGCCTGATGCTGGCAGGATAGCTCTTGAACGCATCTGACTTTCTTAGGAGGCAAAATCCTTGTCATCTTTCATTATTCTATTTAATGCTATTCATGCCGTCCCCCCCCCCCCCCAGCAAAAATTAGGAGGTTGTATGACATTGCTAATGTTCTGAGTAGCCTGGATCTCATCAAGAAAGTCCACGTCACGGAGGAAAGAGGTCGGAAGCCAGCTTTTAAATGGACAGGCCCAGAAATCAGCCCAAATACTAGTGGTGCGTATGGGATTTTGTTGTTTTCCTTTCATTGCTTGTTTCTGTTTTTAACCTAGATGGATTCTTTCCCCTCTATCCTGCGTGCAGCCCCACCCATGGGAAGACCATCTGTAGATGATTGGAAAAGGAGTTTGCTCATAAAGAAAGTTGGATGCTCTGACGTTGGACACTCTCGGGGAGAGGTCCTTGGGTGCAAGAATTTGGAATGGAGGCCCTGGGGCTGTGGTGACAGCTGCATCCCCCGGCCCACGATATTTATTAGAGTGTCCTTAGCCAGTGTCTTCTGTGACCGTGCTCTCAAATCCACCGTGGAATGCATTTCTTGAGAGGGCCTGCCCAACTGGAGCAGGCAGGAGGGTCTCCGCCTTCCACCCACTCTAACACTCCCCTGAGGAGAAATAAGCAAGATTTTATACATCACCAAAAGAGGAAAACCAACAGAGAATGCACACTGGCATTCCTCTGGTTGTGAGATACGGTCCACTCTCCAGATCCATGATTTTCATATTGAAGGGTTTCAACCATAAGTTGGAAATATTTTTTTGGTCTGCACCAAACATGTACAAATGTTTTCTGGTCACTATCTCCTAAACAGTAACATGTGACAGCCATGGGCATTCTATTAGGTATTTCAAGTAACCAAGAGATGATTTAGCGTAGACAGGAGGATGTGTTTGGCTTCTGTGCGTGCATATGCCGTTGGGTGCAAGGCACTTGAGCTTCTGCAGCTTTGGGCTCGTAAGAGGGATTCTGGAGCAAGTCCTCCTCAGATGTGGAAGGCCAGCTGTGCCCTGTGGCGTCAGAGATGCAGCACCGAAATACTATCTGTGACGTCACTGAAGAAGATCTGATGAGGTTCCAGTGTTTAGAGCAGGTGCACACAGACAAAAACCCTTTGTCCCTGACGTGGTTTTATTTATTTTTACTTTTGTGCATTGGTGTTTTGTCTACATGTATGTCTGTGTGGGGGTGTCAGTTCCCCAGGAAACAGAGTTCCAAACAGTTAGGAGCTGCCCTGTCCTCTGGAAGAATAGCCAGCACTCTTAACCACTGAGCCATCTCTCCAGCCCCTGCCCCTGACATGGTTTTAGAGCTGCATTTTGATGTACTCTGTTAGAAGGAAGCAGGATCAACTGGACTTTAATGTACTGGCCTTTTCCCTTACAGGCTCCAGCCCAGTCATGCCTCTTACCACCTCCTTCTTAGAGGCGGAGCAGTCTGCAAAAGAGAACTGTGCCAAAAACCTCTTTTCTACCCGGGGGAAGCCCAGCTTTACTCGACACCCGTCCCTTATCAAATTGGTAAAAAGTATAGAAAGTGATCGGAGAAAGATCAGTTCTGCCCCCAGCAGCCCTGCCAAGAGCAGCAAAGGTATGTTTTCCTGGGAGGTCGGGGCACTTCACAGAATTACTTTTGATCTTTTTTCTTTTAGCCTATTTCAATCCTCATAAGTCTAACTTATAAATGAATATATATTATATAAATATATATATAATATATATAACTTATATATATTTATATAACTTATAAAGATTAAAGGCAGTTTGTGGGGTTTAGTGTTTAATTGCTGTGCAACTAGGTAGCAGATGGATGCTTTCTGTTCCTCTGACACCTGCGTTTTCTTCCATATGAATACTTAATCTTTAGCTTGGACCATCTTCCCTCTACTTTCTTTTTGCCAGCTGAGACTTCTCAAAATTCTCCACCTCTCCCAAACAAGATGGCTCAGCTCGCCGCTATCTGCAAGATGCAGTTGGAAGAGCAGTCAAGGTAGGCTGGCCTCGCAACTAGAAACAGGATGATGGGCTGCTGTCTTGGTATGTTGTTAGAACAGATTGCTCTGCTCAAGGGTGGGCATCACCTATGGAAACTGGAGAGATAGCCTTTAAAATACCTGTCCTCAGTCATTTAAGAAAACAAAAACACTGCCTCTGTTTTCATAAAAGTATGGCTGTGACCTGGGCAAAAAGTGGTAGAGTGCAGGGGTTGGGGGATGGTTTGGTGGATAAGGGTGCCTGCTGCTCAGACGTGAGGACCTGCATCTAGATTCCTATACTCATGTAAAAGCCCAGGTATGGCAGCAACCATTTGTAATCCCAAAGTGAAGGTATGGCCACTGGAGGCTCATTGGCTGGCCACCTCAGCTCACTTGATAGCAGCACCCATTGTTAAACCAAAATATGGCGTTATGGCCACGGTAGGATCCCTAGAGCTCATTGGCCGGCTGACCTAACTAATAAACTCCAGGCTCACTGAAATGGTGGAAATCACTGAGGAAGACAGCTCCCGTCAGCCTCTGACCTCCACGTGTATGCGTGTGCACACAGATGCAGATAGAACACTTAGGAGCCATGCAGTTCCCTGATGTTCCCTATCTCTTTTTCTCCCAGTGAACCCAGGAAGAAAGTGAAAGTAAAGCTAGCAAGATCTGGGCACTACAAACCACTGGCCCCTCTGGACCCTGCAGTGAACACCGAGCTGGAGCTGCCCGCACCCTCCCTCATCCAGCCCCTGGGGGTAGTCCCCCTGATCCCTAGTCCATTGTCATCTGCAGTGCCTGTGATCCTACCTCAGGCCCCTTCGGGCCCATCCTATGCCATCTACTTGCAACCTGCCCAAGCCCAAATGCTGACACCACCCCATGGCCTGAGCCCAACAGTCTGCCCCACCCACTCTAATGCTACTGGATCCAAAGACCCTACAGATGTCCCCACTGAGAGGACCACCACAGAAGCCACCATGTCCAGCGCCTCCTGCAGACCCGGAAGCCTGCAGCCAGCACCGGAAAGACAGGGTGCAAAGAATCGAAGCAAGGAGACAACTGGAGAGCGAGGCACAAAGAGGGCAGGCTCCTCGGAGGACAGTGGCTCTATAAAGAAACCTAAGGAGGACCTGAAGGCACTTGAGAATGTCCCCACGGTGAGTACAGCCTCGATGGTGCCTGTTAGTTTTAGCAATCCCATGGCTGGCTCCACAAGAACGGGTGGCTTGTAACGTTTGCCAAAGCAAAGAGCAGCCTCTTAGAAGACAAAGAGTTGTCCCTTAACGTCCCCGTATCCAAATGAAGGCCCAGACAGCTAATCCTCACGTAGGGATGACGGCAGGGCCATTTTTAAACCTACAGAGGAGGGGCTGACTTGGTCTCTTTTTAAAGCGTCACAGGTGGCCACCCCATACTGGAACACATGCACCTGTCATGAGAGTCATAAATAGTTTAAAAGCAGTTGTCACCGGAGGCATACAAGGGCCTCCTTTAACTCGTGCCTTCTGAGTCATTCCTCAAGGTTTGCTTGATGTCATGTACCTGGCATCTGTTGCCTGGAAGAGAATCTGACCCCCCCCCTTTTTACTACCTACCTCAAACTTACCACAGTCTTTTTTGCGTAAGTGGAAAAGCCAAGCTGATCTTGTCAACGTGTGGGTACAGCGAATACGCATTGGCTTCTAAAGGTGTTGGCCCTCGAGGTGATTTCTTTTCTTAGGTAAGATTAGATTGGGAAAGAATGAACTGAATGTTTATTGGACAGCTAGCCACACTTCAGGTATCAGACTCGAGGATCTTTTGCCCAGAGGTCTAACTTGATTTGCAGGACAGCGGCGCACGCACGTGAAGCACAGTGTCATTAGCAGATGCACCTAAACCCAGAAGCCAAAGTTAGTCTGTCCTTTCCCTGGCTCTTACTTTAGTTCTCCACCTCTTTTCTTTGTCATGACGTCATCCCCCCCCCCCCCCCCCCCCCCCCCCCTCCCCCCTCCCCCCCCCCCCCCCCCCCCCCCCCGTCTCCATCCCCTCTCCCCTCGGTCCTCTATCCACTAGGTTAGAAAAGACTGACCTAGATCAGGTCTAAGCCAGCACCCACCTTTGATGGCAGTTGCTTCTCTGTGCTCACCCGATGGCCACCTTACAGTTCTTGTGGGCTTAAGCGAATGTATTACACGAGGATACGCATAAAGGGCTTTGTGACCCCTCTAGGGCCCCGTATCGGCCGAATGGCGTTATCTGACACTGGGCTTGTTAAGGCAGCTTGAGTCTGTGTAATCTTCCCTGAGGATGGCCTCGTGGGAACCATACATGTCACCCACTGTCTCATGGAGTATTGATGTACATACCGGGGGTAGGGGATCACAAGACCCTGGCTTGACTCAGTGTTCTGTGAGGGCCACAACGTCTGTGGGCCAGCACGCATGATTTTTTTTTCAGTGGTTTCCTGGTGTTCCCTGGGTACCCCAGATTAGAGGTTTTAGATTTCTCGTGTCCCCTAGCTCTCATCTCTGTTGAGTTCATTTTGATTCTCCTTTAGCTTGGACCAAACAGTACGAAGAAAATGATTCATGTGCAAAGTTCATTCAATAAATATGTTCTGAGAACCCCGGGCATGTAGGGATGGCGAGAAGGCAGTATTCAAATAGATGCAAACGTATCTGATAGTAGCTCATAAGGGCTGAGAACACAACAGGATAAATGATCAGAAGATAGGGGCTCAGAAGACTAGAAGAGGTGACATTCAAGGGAAGAAACATCAAATTCATTCATCTTGCTAACTTCAAAAAGTGGAATTACTATCGGCTAAAAGAATTGTCGTGGATGTAATTTGTTGAGATTGAGGCATAGTTATTTCAGGGGTAATACAGGCTTTACTAAAGATTTGAGTGAGTCAAGCCAGCAATCACAGTCCCTTGTCCCATCACAGAGGATGACGATCGACATCAGCAGCCCCATGTACAACGCCCAAACCCAGTGGTTAAGGGCTCTCTATCCCTGCGGCTTTCAAGGCACCAATTCCCAATGTGAAGAGTTCCAGGCCCCTGAGAAACAGTTTAAATCTCTCAGCTCTATGGATTCTGAGTTCCCCGGTTCTCCAGGAGACCAATCAAGAGCTAGGGATCAAAGTGTGGGCTGTTGTTTTGACAACAGAGAAAAAACAAGTCTGAAGAAGGATGAAAGGAGGCCCCTGCTTCTAAGAGCTGCTTTAGATTCTCTAGTCAGTCAGCACCAGGAGGGGAAAGCAGACTTGGGGCGGGGGGGGGGGGGGCGGTATCCACAGACTCTTTGTGTTTGGAAAAGCTCAGCGACCTAATAGGGTGGGGGCTACATCACCCCAACCATCACCCCAACCGCAGTGGGAGCTTGTGCCTTTTGGCATCTGGGTCTCTAATAGGACCAGTTGGCGCTCTTTTCTGCCTGCCGGTTTGCTTTGCGTGTGAACAGGCTGCTAGATTTTGTCAGAATAAAAGTACAAGGAAGCTGTCTTGCCAGTGCAGTTCCTTAGTTCTAAATCAGGAGTAAGAAAACCCGGAGGGCCAGCTAGCAAATTCGCTAGGCCATAGCGTCTCTGTTGCACCCACTCAACTGTCCCTGTTGAGGTCCAACGGTCCCTGCACAAAGGGTGGGGCACATTCCAATGAAGCCTTCTCAAAAAAATAAAAAGTTTGGGCATGGTGTAGGACTATAGTTCAGCCACTCCTTTCACTAAGTCAGTATTGCTTGAGACTTTTTTTTTGTACATTAGTCCTCCTCAATGGCCCACTAAAAACTTAGTTGCCTAATGGACTGGAAAGGCTGCACGCAGTGTTCCCCATTGGGTTACTAACAGGCATCCATCAGTTTCAGAGTCCCTCAGTAAAGACATTTTGTGTTAAGTTTTTCCAAAGCCTGTTTGGGCTGTGAGTCAAGTATTTCCTGTTTAAATCTCCTAGAAACAGTGTCCCTCGGAATACTCTCAGGGGAATACCAAGTCTTCAGAATTAAAGATCAATCCAGGAGTGACCCAGCAGGGTCATATGTGGCATTTATCACTGTTAAACTTCACTCCGGCAGGGATATCTGATGGCAGGAGTTGGGATGCCAGTGTAAAGATGATGTACTGGCTGAGCCTACCCTTAAGTAGCCTCAAGGGGTATCTTCTGAGTTGAAAATGGTGGTACATACGGGTCATCCCAGCACTAGGGAGACTGAAGCAGGAGGACCCAGGGTTCAAGGCCAGCCCGGGCTATCTGGGTGGCTAGACTGACGGCCTAAAGTGCTCTAGAAAAACAGACAAGAGATGGTTCCAGAAGGGGACGGTACCTGACCCTGTTCTTCTTTTGGTACGTGTGTGAAATCAATTCTTTCTCCTTATTTTGTAGACCCTGTTCCCATCAGGGTACCTAATCCCTCTCGCCCAGTGCCCGTCCCTGGGGGCAGAATCCGTGCTGTCTAGCACAGAAAACTCAGGTACACTTTCCCCAAACCACAGGATCTACGGCTCCCCGATTGCAGGTGAGTATATGCCAGATGCCATTCAGACCTGAGCTGGCCTGCAGTCCCCTTATCATCTTCCTGAACAAGTAAATGTCTGTTCTTAAGACTTAGCCCTTCCCCCGCTTTTCCAGGTGTTATCCCGGTGGCATCATCTGAACTCACTGCTGTGAATTTTCCCTCTTTCCATGTGACACCTTTGAAACTTATGGTCTCCCCAACATCGGTGGCAGCTGTACCTGTTGGGAACAGCCCAGCTCTCAACTCAAGTCACCCTGGCACTGCCCAGAACCCAAGCTCAGCCATTGTCAACTTCACCCTGCAGCACCTGGGCCTCATCTCCCCCAGTGTGCAGATGTCTGCCAGCCCCGGGCCTGGAGCTGGCACAGTCCCTGTGTCCCCACGTGTTGAAGCAGCTAGTGTCATACCAGATAACTTGAGCTTTCGGCAAGGGAGGGCCACCAACCATGACTCGCCAGTCCTGGGCCAGAGCCAACTAAATGGACAATCAGTTGCTGGGGCAGGACCACAACAGGTAAGAGTATTTGCATTTAATTTAAAGATAGGCTTAAAAATTGAAGATGGCCTTGACATTTTGATCCTCCTGCTTCTGCCTCCCAAGTGCTGGTATTGCCATTTAATTTAATTATTGGATCATCTGTATCAGGAGGCTTGTGTTCCCCTCTTTGGAGAGGGAAGTGTTCTTCCAGCCCCAAGAAGAATGCCCAAGGCACCCATGAGGTTTTGTCTCCTCTTAGCGACAATAATTCAAAGGAACTAGGGGCTTTCCATGCGGATATCAGGATGTATTAGTCTCCCAGAATGCCACAGATCAATCATCCAGCCCTGTCTTGAGTCTTCTGGGTAGCGTTAGTCACCGTTGGTCTAACGCCGTTTTTCCTTTGCTCTCTCCAACCAGTCTGTTCCTGTGACACCCAAAGGCTCCCAGTTGGTGGCTGAGAGTTTCTTCCGTACCCCAGGTGGACCAACCAAGCCTACCAGCTCACCCTACATGGATTTTGATGGTGCTAACAAAACCTCCTTTGGAACCCTCTTTGTCCCACAGCGTAAACTGGAAGTCTCAACTGAGGATGTCCACTGATTGACCGAAGACGGTGGTTTAATTTAATTTCCTAAAGAGCTATTTAATGAGATGATAGGTGCATACAGATTGAGAGAATACCACCTTTGAAAATACTGTAAATACTTTGGGGGTTTTACTCAATATCACCGCAATATTTGTCATGCTTACGCATGTGTGTGCATGTGCACATATATATATATATATTATATATATATGCACACACATTTGTACAAGGCCAAATTCAGCCTTCTGTACTATAAAGTAAAATGGTGACCTAAGGTACATTAACTTCTAGGGCAGAAAGACTCTTTTTTTTTTCACCTGTGCCTGTATTATTATGCAATTTACACTTTACTACCCTTTCAGTAAATGTTCGGCTTACCTAACACAGCACCTGCTCAGACTTTTTGCACAAAGGAAATGCTGTGTGATGTATAATGTATTTTTACCTAGGGAGGAGATAGGTTTTTTTTTTTTTTTTTTTTTTTTTTTTTTTTTATTTTTTTTTTTTTTTTTTTTTTCAGTCTGTCTTTTTGTAGAGTTTACAACCCTCCTCAATCAAGTCTGGAAAAATTATTTATAAAATGTATTTTTAATCATAAGTTGTTAAAATTAAAAGTCTTCTAAAATGTAGTTAATGTTTTCACTGGGCCTCTTAGGGCACTTGCTGTTGGGCACTTGCCTGATCTCAGGGACAGTTTCTTGGGAAGGGCTTCCTCGGATACTTGGAGTTCATAGGAAGTTTCCATCTTCTCCCAGCTCCCCACCCCCCACCCCATGGTCCTGAGCCTTGCTAGAATAGTGACAACATGATGTGGAGAGGCCAAAGGAGCAGATGGAAGGCAGGAGGAGCTTCGGCAACCCTGGCTCTGTCCAGCACCCATCCCAGGCCTACTCTACACTGTCCTACACCTTCTCTGTGATCCAGCTCTAGAGAAGAAACAGCAGTAAGGATTCTACTTTCCTCTAGGTAGGGAACTACCATGCACTGCACCCGCAGTGAGCTCCAGGAAAAGGACTGAGCTAGGGTGTGTCCAACGTGCATCTTCTTGAGCCATTAGGGGAGAAGCTGCATGCTGAGAAGTTAAGGGCCTCCTCTGGCCTGGGTCTTCCCAGAACATCGTAAATTCTTCCTATGTGCTGATGTCACAAGCTACAGGACGCTTGAGTTACATGTTATAAGCGAGGACCACAAGGCCACTGAGACAGAATAAGGCAATAAGTCCAAGGGAACTGTGAGGACTCAACCTTCCCGTCCAACAGTGGGTGAAGCCATCCAGCTGTGGGAGGCTCTGAGCTGCTGTGGATGTTCAAGGTCACCCCCTGGGAACACGCATTCTCTTTGTGTGGCTAAGCACAGGCAAGACGGCAGATTTTCTGGTTGACTTTAGCCTTCTTCCTCTGCACCAGAGAACCAGTGTAAGGAATTTCCTCCAAGGAACTCCACTTCTGTTTATCTAGCTGCAAACCTTTTGGAAACAAATGCAGAGCAAACGATGCTGTCACAAACGGCCCCTGCTTTTAAAGCACCTGAGTTCATACTTGGGGAAGATATAAATCCATAAGGCATTTCCATGCACTGGAGTTCCCTCTGGCAGATATGGAGGGAATAGTTGCACAGAAGCCACTAGACTTAACTGCACACACAGCACAGCCACGAGCTCTTGGGAGGTGGGGCTCCTTAAATTGCCTTGGCAGCCCCTGTGGACAGGGTAGAAAACAGTGTTCTGTTCTTGTTCTCAATCCTCCACGTGAAGAACCTCCCTGGGAAAATTAAATGCCCAGGAAGAAATGTTACCGGTACGTTAGATGTCAGGACAGCTCTGCAAACTGAATCTCTTGGTTGTGCAACTCACAGAATTGTGAAGCTACCCCCTTGATCACCACCTCCTGGTGTTTTCCACCCTTCTTGAGTATGGCGAGGTCCTATGCCTTGCTTCCAATCGATAAGACTCTGTAAAAGAATGGGGTATGTGTGATACTGTGTGTTTATATGATTTTATCAGACTAGTTCACATCTTCTCTTGAATCTTTTCTTCTTGCTGGTTTTGAGGACTTGGCTACAAGAGTCCAAGGAAGTGGACAGCCTTTTGGAGCTACAGGTAGCCAACAACTAACACAACCAGCAAGAAACAACTTGAGTTCTACCTATAGCCACAGAGAACTGAATCCCGCCAGCACCTAACTGGAGATCAGAGTGTGAAGGGCCCCAAAGGCTCATGTGTTGGTCCCCAGTATTAAGAAGTAGGGACCTCTAGCAGGTGAGTGAGAGCATGAAGGATTAAACCATTGACAAATTCATAATTTGATGCAATACGAGGGAGTGGTAGAAACCTTTCGAGGTGGGGCCTGGTTAGAGAAGGTAGCCTCACCGTGGACAAATGCAGTCCTTGAAAGGGACTTCTGGCCCTGGCCCCTCCAGCCATCCCTCGGGGCTACCATGCAGTGAGCAGCTTGGTCTTAGACAGCCCCTTAACATCAATCAATCAAAAGGCCATGTCCCGAAACCTCCGTAGCTGTTAGTCACAACAGCTTTCTTCCTTTAGATTTTTTCTTTTCTGAGATATTTTTGCCACAGCAATAGAAAGCTGACAAGATCATTCTATTGGGGAGCCTCAAACGGATCACAGCCCCAACTGGCCACTTTGTCTGAAGCCTTGGACAGCAAGCAGATGGGTGCTGTTTTAAGATACTAACTTTGTGGTAATTCTGTTGAACAGCAGTAGATATGTGCACCCACATAGACCACCAGTGTTTATAAATATTCTCCTGTCTGTCATAGTATGGTTCATTGTTTGATGGTGTCCAGAGAAGGAAATGGGACTCCATGGACTTTTCTAGAATTGTGCTCCATTTCCTCAGCTGGGATCAACTGTCAAGACGCTAGGCGCGACCATAGCGAACACTTACCTGAGCAATTTCTTTTCCCACATGGCTCCCCCATATCCCTCCCCAACCCCCTTTTTGAGACAGGGTTTAATATAGCCTATGCTGGCCTCAAACTCAGAGTAGGTGAAGATGATTTTGAACTGTGATCCTCCTATTTCTAATTCCCGAGTGCTTCAATTACGGGCCAATGTGTGCAGTCCTGGCATATGCAGTACTAGGGACCGAAGCAGGGCCCTGTGGATGCTAAACCAGCATTCTGCCAACAGAACTATATCCTCAGCTCATCCCTTCTTGGGAAATTTTGTTTCTATGGGGATGAAGCCCTGCGGATCATAGCTGGAGGCCACTTCATGCCTACCAGGAGTAGATCAGACGTCCAACCTTGCCTGAACTCCTGGAGCAGTGCGTACTCCATTCTACCAGTTTCCTGGCCACTCTGACTTTTTTCTGCACCTCGGCTCTAGTTTCCTAGCCTCTGCATAGGCGCCCACCTATGTGTAAATCTGAGCGCAGCTGTCTGCTAGTCCCCGGAGCCATTGTTATTTCTCCAGTGAGTTTCTCTTGCTCAGAGCAGTCAGCTGTTTCTGTGGCTGGAAAACCAAAAGTCACCAAAAGCACGACTGAGGCCTTCAGAATACCCGTCTCACCAGAGAATATAAGTAGCTCACTCGAGTACAAATGACAACTCAAAGACTTGAGCTAATGAGAAGGAAAAGAAAAACATTTTTTTTTTGTTTTAGATACAATATATTGGGATCTTTCTTAAGCGATAATGTGGTTCCTGGACTCCTAAGCAAGACTGTACCACAGTTTAAACTCCTCTTCCTGGCTCCTAACTACTATATATACTGAATATAACACAATGGACACCACTTAGGCAACTGAGAATACAGCTGTGCTTCAGAAGTTATTAATTAGGTAAACCATTATCCTTCTGAAATCAATGGCCCAGAATTTTATGTTTATAGCCCTGTATTTTAAATTTTTATTGTGTTTGCTTACTTACGAATTCCTTTCCTTACTGTGTCTGTGTGTCTTCGCTAGGGTATACCTGTGGTCAGAGGACAACCTGCAGAATCAGTTCTCTCCTTCCTTAGGGATTTAACTCTGGTTATCAGGCTTGGTGTCAGTGCCTTTACCTGCTGAGCCATCTCCTGGCCCATTGGTCCATGTTTTATAGTTCTTGGACTCCAGCTTTGACATCAGCTTCTAATTGTTTTGTCTGTCTTCCCTCATGATGGATGTCTTTCCTGACCCAGAAAATCTGAAGGCTTCCCAGGGAACTCATGTCCCCAACCTTGCCTTTATAAACCATCCCGAGTCAGTAGATTCCTTTCTGACCACTGACTGAGTGAGGTTTCTTTCCTCTCTGATGGGGAACAGGGACATAGCTTTGGTCAGATTTCCCCCTGACAATTAGTGTTCTTCCTCACTGTCCCCTTGGGTCCAGACATGTTAACGCTGGAGAGCTCTAAACCATGATAGTACTGGAAGAATGCCAAATATTAATTGTGTCTATATTCACTATCAGTCCAAACCTTGAACAAGACATTCATTTCCACACAGAGATATTCTGGGAAACAATCTTCTAGAAGCTCGGGGTGGGGGAGACAACTGGCAAGGCCTGCAAATTATAAGGAATAAACATTGTTGGACTTTTGTTAGCAGCATTACAAAGTAATGACTATCAAACCCGCTTTGAGGAGGCTAATTTCAGAAAGCTAAAGGTACGAGTGTCCCCCCCCCACACAGTATGTCTGCAGGGCCAGTGTGTAAATGCAGATGTGCCTGGTGACGTCACCTGCACTGCATATCACACTCCAGAGATCAGGCTTCCTCCGTCTGTCACACACGTTCAGACTGTGGAGAAACAGGCTGACTCCACGATGCTCGTGAACAAAGAGAACGGCGCTTCACTTGTATTAATGCTAACGTGTGGGAGCTGTTGCTGTTGTCTCAGGCTTCGTATTAGAGTTGATCGATTCCATCAAGTAGCTCACTTCAGAACATGACGTAATTTTTTTTTACGCTGTGACTGAGGTTTGAATTGGTCCAAGTAGGAATTTGCACAAGATGTTGGAAGCAGAGACAAAGTTACCACTACTCTCTGAAGGTCACTGACATTTAATTCAGGGACAGACACAAGGTGCCCACAGGCACTCCCTCAAGGTGCCAATTTCTTTGTTGAAAGAAACTTTGTTGCTTTCCTAGTACCAGCTGCCTTGGCAGCTCTCTTAGGTGCACTGGCTTCTTAGGCTGACTGATCTATGGCTTTACTGACCAAGCAATCTGCCATTTCAAACCTCCACTTCCCTCTCTCCTCCCCCAAACGTGTTAAGGTCTACTTTCTTTAAAAGTTATTCCTAACTCATCGGAGTTCTGCTTTCCTTATTAAACCACAAACATATCATGTAGGACTTACAGAGGATGGGGCCAGGGGATGAGGGTGGGGGAGAGAGACAGCCAGAGGCCATCACTTCCCACAGCCCAGAGAATAGGATGTCCTAACACACAACTTGGCAAGCTGTAGGCCATTTTACCGGCCAGTACTTTCAAAGCTGCAAATCCAAGAGCTGAAGTGTTCTTAGATCAGAGTCCCCTTTCTGAATGCATCACCTG